ATGATAAAAATTGAAGGTGCACCTTATCTTTACAGCGACATATGCATCTGCATAGCTAACTGTACTTTAAAATTAGAATTTTACATATTTTTTAAAAATTAAGAAAAAAATATTATTTAATTCTAGCTTTAAATTTCTATAAAATGGGAAATTTTTTATAAAAGAAAAAATTTATATAAGGTTGCCACCTTAAAATGTAGAATTACATATCTGCACAAAAATTCATCAAAAAAGGTTTGCTTAATGTTGAAAAACCCTCTAATTGATCATCAAGATAATGAGATATATGAATATGAAAAAAATAAAAAATAAATAAAAATAAATATTAAATCTCAAAAATAATGCATCTTACGACACATTATCTAGACAATCAATTTTCGTGATTTTCATATGTGCATAGATCTACTTGATTTTAACCATTTTTAAAGTTTAACGAGAAACTTTCCGGTTGCCGCCCTCAAATCTCCTATCTGATATTATCGTGGCCCCTGTTACAGGGTATAATGGCCTGCTACTGCCCTGTAGGCTCAAGATCTACAGCCCCCTTCTCATTCTTTGGTACCCTAACTTTCTCTCTCGACAAAATGCTCCTCAAAAAGACCGACCTCCATTTGACCCATTCCATCTTCCCTTTTCCCACTCTCATACCTCCACCCCCAACTTTCTCTCTCTAAACAATGGCTCTCGGCATGCCGTTAACCATTGTTCCCATTCTCTCTCTTTCATGGCTTTGGTAACTTTCCATCAGAAGGTTTTTTCTCCTGCTTGGGGAAAGTTATTTTCATCTGTGTCTTTCAGAAGAAGCTACCACAATAAGACCTTGAAGATGGGTCATGAAAGCAAGCGGGTTTTCCAGCTAAAAATGGATCCTTTGAGTGGAAACATAGAGTGGGTTGTTGTTTCAGAAGCTGAAGAGGAAGAAGAACCAAAGTCTCTCCTTTCTTCGACTTCGTATCTCGATATGCTCAACGATTCTCGTAGGAACAGGGCTTTTCATGAAGCTATCAAGAAGACCATTACCAGGCCTTGCCATGTTCTCGATATTGGGTACTCTCTCTCTCTATGGTGTGTTTTGTAAAGTGTTTTCTCTGTACGCTTAGTTTTTGTGACTCATATTCTTCTTTCTCTTTATGGGTTTTCTTGGTGTTTTTCTCTAGGCATAAAACATGGGCAGTCTAGAAATCGCTTGGAATTTTCCTGAAAATAGAAAACATGCATTCTCTTGTTTATCTACAATGAAAATTTGCTTTTCTGATTAGTATCTATTAGACTTCTATCAACTTGGTTAACTGTGAATAACATCACTCCCACCATTAATATTACTGTGGTGTGTGGATTGTTTAAAGTTTAAATGCATATGTTTGATTGTTAATTATATTCTTTATTATCAATTTTCATTTGTTTGCAATGTAATTCTGTTTGGCATTCCACTCACATGAGTAGGAGTAGTTCATTCAAGTTTACTACATTTCTTTAGCAAAGATTACTAATCTTGATTTCGCAATTCAAGGACCTTTTTTCGACAAAACAGTTTTTCCTACGATATTTATGTGTCCTCTGTATAAAGATAATGTTTACAGTACCCTTGTGAGATTCTTCACTTCATAGCATACTTTGTTGAAACGCTGTTATCGTTGTTTTGTGATACCCTATTCATTAACTCAAGCAATGTTGGCACAGAGCAGGAACTGGTTTGCTGTCGATGATGGCATCAAAGGCAATGCATGAATTGGACAAATCAGAATTTAGCTCAACACATGGAATGGTAACAGCTTGTGAAGCTTATCTTCCAATGGTGAAATTGATGAAGAAAGTATTGCGTGCCAACGGTATGGAGAATCAAATACGTGTTATTCACAAACGTTCCGATGAATTGGAAGTTGGTGTAGACATCCGTTTACGTGCAAATATATTAGTAAGGAAGATTGGCCTTTGCGTCTTGTGTAAATTTGAACTTGGTTATTGCATTTTCTTTTTCTGGTGAATCACATTTGTTTTTATGGCATTCATTAAATCACAATGTGCGGGAAAAAAATTGTGACATGGGTGGTATCAGCATTCCAGACTAACATGAATCCACTCGGACTCAAGTGAGTTAGTTGGACTCGCCCTATGGTCAAGGCCGAGTAGGGGCAAGTTCCATTGCAATTCACCCCACACTTGTAAATGTTGTAAAAATTATAAAAAATAGAAAAAATGTAGAAAAATCGGGACACGCTATGTTTGTAATAAGTATTTAGATGATTTTGGTAGTTTTTAAGGTGATTTGAGAACTTTCTTATGTTTTCCTTTTTTAAAATATTTTTCTGAAATATTCAAAATCTAAATCAAATTTTTTTGATAATCCATATTTTATGGATATTTTTCATCTTTTTTGTCTTTGAATGCTTTCTGTTACCTCTTTTATTTTATCCATATATTTAACTATTTCTAAAAAAACATTTACCATTTTTTTGACCTTTTTCTGGTTGTACGTGACACGGGTGAGTCCACTTGGACTTGGCTGCATTACTCGTCTCGGCCAAGGGCCATGTTTGGAAATTTGATGATGAAACTCAAAGTCGAAAATTCATTCCTTACCAAGGTATACTATAATGAATTTTGATTAGCTAATGAGCAAATATGCATATCATGTGCACAGGTTAGTGAGATATTGGACTCAGAATTACTTGGTGAGGGACTAATACCAACTCTGCAACATGCGCATGATACATTGTTAACATCAAATCCCCAAACTGTTCCATACCGAGCTACTATCTATGGCCAGGTGTACTAGAACTACAATTAGAGTACATTGGTTATTTATTTATCTTTTAATCCTTGTGCTTCCCTTGATATAAGTCCCTCTCTGTGTGCGTTTTGGTTTCAGTTACACAGTTGCACACTTTTTCTTAGTTTGACTTCATAACTTTATATTCTTACTTTTTGTGTTGTCAGTTAGTTGAATGTGCATTTCTACACAAGATGCATGATTTATACAGTAATGAAGCCCTTGCCTCAGATGATATTCATCTAGTTCCCACTGGATTAGAGACAGCTATCTATGTCAAACCACAACAATACCCATTTCATTGCAGTCCATTATCTAAAGATATCAAAGCGGTGAGTAATGAAACTAAAACTGAGGTGAATCTGTTGTTCAAGGAAGTGGGTTCTCTATTAACTATCAATTCTATACCGATCCAGCTTTCAGAACCGTACAAGATTTTTACTTTTGATTTTTGGAGAAGGCCTGACAGCTATGCAGAGAATGAGGTGAAGATAAAAGTGAATTGTGACGGCAATGTTCATGCCGTTATTTCGTGGTAAGGTCACTTATTGACAAAGCTGGAGCTGCTTCTTCTATCAATACTTTATGATAAGAAGCCAGATTTATTTTTTCCTATTTTCAGGTGGGTGCTTCAGTTAGATTCTGATGGAACAATCTTCTATTCGACAGCGCCCTCGTGGATAAATTCATCTTGTGACAATCCAGAAGTTCTCAGAGGTTTTCCTGGTGCTTCTGATTGGTGTGATCATTGGAAACAGTGTGTTTGGGTCTGTCCAAGGATGGGTATGCCTGTATCCAAGAATGAGCAAGTTCTTATTCAAGCCATTCATGAAAAAACTAGCTTTCGGTATAATCTCAGGAAAATTAGTGTACCAAGTAAAGAGTTGGGGCCTTGCAATTTTCATATTAGAGACAATTCATTAGTACTCTCACCGGAAAGGATTGCAATATATGGTGACCAAGATTGGAGACTTTCCATGTTAACTACTGCAACAAAGGCAGTGAGTATATTAAATCATCATATGATGGATTCCATTTTATTTGTTCCAAAATGTTGTCTGATTCTTTTATATTCCTGTGATGCATCCTTTTTTTTTTTTGGCTTTATTTTTTTTGTGGGGGGGGGAGGGGGTGGGGGAAAGAGCAAAATGAAGTAATGATTAGAGAAGATTGGTTAACTACTGAGGATTATATTTTCTTGCTGCAATTGCTCCCATTTTCTAGTAACGTACTATTCTAAATTTGCTCTCCATATTTTTTTTTTTTCTCTTGGTTTCAATAGTGTTATTGTTTATTGATATTCATACCAAATTCTGTTCAGTATCCGTTTTTTATTTTTCTATATTCAGTGTAGCTCCTGCATAATAGCCGATGTGGATTTTCATGCAGTTGCAGAAAAAGAATTCCCCATTATGTGTTGTTGCAGATGATAGTGTGTTCTGGACAATTCTTACTGCCTCGCTTTCAACAAGTTCAAATGTTCTTTCAATGCTTCCTGGACTTCACATGAAGGGTAGCCAATACTTACATGCTGTTGCAAAGGCTAATGGCATTGATATCGATCGTGTCAAAGTTCTTGGCAAAAGGGCCTCTAGCCTGACAATGGATGATACTGATCAGAGAAAGGTAATTCCATCCGTGTTAAGTGGGTCGGTCAAAGTTGTTAGAAATTTAAATATGCTACTCTTGTAAATGTAATTACACAATTCCTGGAGTCCTCTGAAACAAATGTTCCTCCACTTCTTTTGATAGATGACCATGCATATATGGGAAGGATCTGTACATCAAGTTGTTAGGGAGTGAAACCCGTCATTTGTTTCTAGTCTCATATTTATTCGTAGAAGTAATAGTTCATTATTCAAAGGGGCATGAATGATTCCAAGTTTGTATCATCTTAATTTATTAAAACTTTTCTATTCCTTAAAGACATCTATAATTGTGTCATTTTATCTGTATTATTTGAAGATCATTCCCAAGTTGTTGGCCATTGCCTAATGTTCATTGCGCAGTACCGTTTTGTGTTAGTCCTTCTCCATCCTTGACTATTTCTCTTGATAGATCCTGGTGATCCTAGAAATATGTTATAATATTTGGATTCTCACAATGAGAGTGGATGTTAATTCACATTGTCCTTGGCAGGTTGACTTGTTAGTTGCTGAACCTTTCTATAATGGAAATGAAGGGAGTCTTCCTTGGCAGAATTTACGCTTTTGGTAAATAAAGGCGCATCTCTCTTATTAATAACCAATATTCAAGCATGAAAGTTTTGAGCCTTTCTATTCTATGAAGCATTTTCTGGAGAATCCATCAGTTATGGACAAAAAGTATGCAGTTCTCTTGGCAAGCAACTGTTGTTTGCACCCATGTTTTTGTTGTTTGCGCATGTACATGAGTGGAAATTTGAGTGGTAATAGCAGAAACAAGGGTGCAAAAAGCAAACAAGTGGGAACAAATAACAATCCCATGACTGGACTCTACACAATTTCATCCATTTATTATTATTCCAGATAATGCTAGACCACATGCTTATGAGTCTTTTCGAAATCAATTTGTAGATAACTACCAGCTCACCGTTATGAATTGTAGAATACAATTTGCTTGTGAGACACCATGGGCATGAACCAAATTTTGATGTTTTCCCATGGAAATGCTTATCTTGGTCTTTTGATGAGAGGCATGAGTTTTCCTATTGTCATGAACTTTGGCTATAATTTTATATAGAGCATCAATTCATTTATTGACCAACATTGTTCTACGTCTTATCTTGGAGATAAATGAGATGAAGACTCAAATTTTTAGGTTCTATTCGTAACAAGAATGGGATTCCCTTCCCTTGAATATGATGTCAATTGTGGAAAAAATTTCCATGCTTATAGAGAAGTAAGTGGAATATAGAAAAATTAGTCTCATGAACTGGCAAAGAAGAGCATGTGTTGCATTAAGAACCTTGCTTCCTAAGTTGATTAGCTTTATTTATATTATCTACTGCCTTTGGGTTCTATCATTGGCTCTACAAATGCCAGGGAGGAAATAATTTTGCATTGAATTTTTTCTTCTTTTGTGAAGGAAGGAAAGGACTACATTGGATCCAATATTATCCAAAGATGCTGTGATCATGCCCTGTAAAGGAATCCTAAAAGCATGTGCAATGTTTCTTCCAGTGAGTTACTTATCCTTGTTCTACCCAGTCTGAAAGTTTTGTTTTGGAAAAATAAGGATGGTATTTCAATTCTTTGGACCACCTGCATGATAAATGCTTGAGCTCCTGGTGCTGTCCTGATATTTTTCCTTTGATTTTGCATTTCTTAGTGTATTGTGGCTGGCCTTATTATACAGGATTTATGGAGAAGCCGTCGATGTCTTGGAAGCATTGAAGGGTTTGATCATTCAGTTGTAAATAAGACTTTAGGAGGTTGTGGTGATTTACCTGCGCCAGAGGAAGGTCCCTGGCTTCCTTTTTTTATTTGGCAATGCGGCGAGACTGAGGTAAAATTAAGGTTTAGGGTATTAAGACTACAATGTCGTTTGAGAGAATTCTAGATTGAGAAAATTTTGCTTAAAAAAGACTACTGAAGACATTTGAGGCTCAGTTTTCACTTTTATTTTGTGATGAATTTCTTTGAAATGGTGAAAGCCTCTCTTTGGAACTCCTTGTTGAAATTGCAACGTGGGGTACTTTTCAGGAACTCGCTGAGGTGTTTACAGTTATGGAATTCAATTTCTTAGAGCCAATTAGAAAATGTTCAGGGCAAACCAAGGTATCTGATTGAATCCTATTTTTCGTTATGGTTCTATTCATACATCGGTCATGAACTACTGAATTTGTTATATCCTAAGTTTGATATCCAACTTATGCAGATTCAATTCAACAAGAATGGAATTTGTCATGGATTTGCACTTTGGATTGATTGGGTCATGGATTCAAGCAACACAATTGTCATATCAACTGGACCAGGTGAACCACCTTTGGGCTCATTTCTAATGGCAATCTAGGCACGTAGAAATTTTTCTAAAATCTGCAAGATCATGCAATTCTTTTTATTTTTTTAATGTTTTCATCACTATTTACAGATTCTTTGGAGTCCATTGACTCCGATTATTTTGATAACATTCTATGCCTAAATATAAACATGGTATTAAGAGGGAAATATGTTACAAACTTAAAAAACATAGTTTTAGTTATAAAATGTAAGGATAATATAAGTTGATTGAAGAACATAATTGAGAAATGTGGGGTAAATGTTATATTTTTTCCCTTTATTTTTGGGTTTTCAAATAGAAATTTATAGTGGCATAATAGAATCCTTTTTATTTTCAAATTTTATGATATTTTTTGAGAACTTTTGATAAAAACTGAAATTTGAAAATCTTCCAAGCAGTTCCTCTCTAAGAAACATATGGAAAAATTAATTTAGGCCATAAAGAAATATATGAAAGAGACGATGAACAATGGAGGCACAAACAGCTCTAGCAAAGTCAAACGTTCTTTTTACTTGGTGTATGTTTTTATTTGTGGTGATTCATTTTGAGGCTTAGAGAAATTCTTCTTTCTTTTTAAGCTCGGAAATATTGGAAACAAGGGGTGAAGCTTCTCAGCAAGCCTGTTTCAGTGAGAGAGTACTCATGGGCAGAAGTTGATGGATACTTTGATCCCTCAAATGGTGAACTTATTTTGAAGCCCACTTTTTCCTCGCCATGAATCGGGCTTTAAAAAACCCAACTGGTATTGTTCCTGCTCCGGTCAGGTCTCTAAATGATATGGTTGTTTCTTTGGGAAGAATCATTATCATACACCAATTTTGTGCGGGATATAATACCCAAAATGGCATCCAACATCCATTGTCAAGGCAAGACGGTGGAGATTAACAATAAGGGGCACATTGGGATATTCACATGGGTACAGTTGTTCTCCATCATTGACTCGTCGCGGACTTTTGATGCCCCATCTCGTAACCATTTACTTTACTCCATTGTTGTATGATGCGTTTCCCTTATTTATTTGTATATCCAAGTTTAATTTGTCTCTTATTATTTTGCCTGATATAATAAGATGGAGTTAATGCTAATGCAGGTGCAATCTATCAAGTAGATTGAACCCCTTGCCTCCAACCCCCATATGTATATGATACGAAGTAATTTTGACAGTTTTGTGCTGCATTGTTGGTGTGATTTCTTTTGTAATGTGGGTGAAAGTTTTGATATATTTAATGATAGAGTCAGCCATGTTGTTTAGATCACAATCTCAGCCAACAGCCCAAATTGAATCTGGACTGATCTGACGATCACGATCTTATTTCGTATTTGAATTTTTATTTTTATTTTTACAAATTCAAATCACATGAAATTTTAGGTATTCAATCTTCTCATCAAGCACACTTAATAAAAATATAAAAAAATAATTCATAAAATATAAATTAATCAAAATACCTGTAAAAAGTTGAGGGTATTTTGGTTAATTTATTTAATTATTTAATTATTATTATTACTATTATTATTACTATTATTATTATTTTATTTGATTATCCTAGTTTTTTCAAAATTTTAAGTGATTTGGATTTCTAGAAAAAAAAAAGAAAATTCAAATATATAATGAAATCGTGACCATTGGATCGAGCCTATATTTAATCTGGGCTGGTGGTTGAGATTGTTATCGAAGCAGTATTTTCGCCCGTAGGTTCGGCGTTGTTTGATTTTTTCGGATGGTGTGGATTAAAGACCGTCACAGTTATAGCATGTCCGTAACAATATTTTTTTCACGTAAAATTGACGCAACTACTATACGGGGACCGCCACGGCTCCTATAGGTCTGTGGTGATTTTTAGGCAAAACGGTCATGGATATATATATATATATATATATGAGTTTGTCTATAGTTAACAACCTTTCAAAATACAAAAGGGATTGTGATTGGTGTATTTATTAAAACAATCATTATTTTTTTATTAAAAAATTATTTAAATAGGTAACTTACTATTAAACAAGGACAAATTTGAAATTTTCACAAAAATACAATGGCATTTTAGAAGTTAGTGTCTTGGAATTTTGTTTGTAGAGTACCTTTGTCTTTTAATTAAAATTTCAACTTTACCCCTAATGAAGATGACAAAAGTATCTTTAGTCTTGTAGTAATATTTACAAAAGTGCACCAAAAAGGTAACTTTTTTAAAAAATAAATTATAAAATTAATAAATTCATCCTTCACACCTCTTTTTATCTTGAACTTTTTGTAATTTGAAGGGTTGTGAAGTTTAGATTATCTCATATATATATATATATATATATATATATATATATATAGAGTATACACCTATACGTCTACTATATAGTAATATATAGTAGTTACACCGTACCAGTACTCGTAGACGTACTACAACGTAATGGTT